GCCGTATTCCTCTATGGTGGTCAAGGTGCACAGTGGTATGGTATGGCGAGAGAAATGCTAGTTCACGAGCCAAAATTCAAGCAAAGCATTGAAAAAATTGACGCACTCCTTAAACAATACCATGCCCCCTGGTCCTTGATTTCTGAGCTCAAGAAACCTGAAGAAACGTCGCGAATTCATGAAAACCCAATTGGACAGACTGCTCTGTTCGCCATACATTTTGCTTTAACCAAGCTGCTAAAATCATGGGGTGTTTCACCGTCCGCAGTTATTGGTCATAGTCTTGGAGAAATATCTGCAGCCTGGGCATCTGGAGCATTAAATTTGAATAAAGCTTTGCAGTTGGTTTTGTTTCGCTCTCAACTTCACGAGAAATGTTCACCAACAGGTTGTATGGCTGCCATTGGGATGACAGAAGAGGAAGCTCGACATATGCTGCAAGATCTTCAACTGACAAATGAGATCGACGTTGCCGCCGTGAATAGCCCAGGTAATGTTGTGTTATCTGGTAGCCAAAGGTCAATGCAGCTGGTGGAAAACCATGTGTCCAGGGAAAGAAGAAATCTTTTGTGGAAGAAACTCACTACGACCCGAGCATACCATAGTAGAGAAATGGATGAAATAAAGCAAGCATTCCTTAATCTCACAAAGGAATTCAAAGTTTGTGAAACTTCAAGCCATTTGCCATTTTATTCAACTGTTACCGGCACCAAGTTGCCTGGTAGTCTCTTATCACTTGACCATTGGTGGCGTAACATCCGACAAGCGGTTTTACTGGAGCCCGTATTAAAAAAGATGTTTTCGGATGGTCACCGGTTCTTCATTGAAATAAACGCAGTACCTCAGCTTTCATACCATGTTCGTCAGACTTGGTCTCACAATCATCCATCAGATTCTCTACGTTCAAACGACGTCGTTGTAGTTCAAACTCTCCCAAAACAATCAGTTAAAAGCCAGCACTTATCATTTCTTCAAAATTGCGTGGCTAGTCTCTTCGTAAATGGTGTGCCCTTATCATGGAACAAAGTGCAAGGCTCTGGATCGAAAACATTTTTCCCCCGTCCAACATATCCTTGGCAAGAGACAAAGTATTGGTACCGCGAAGCGCGTCCACCAGAATGTGTTACATTTTACGATGAGCACAACACTAATGAAGAAAATAAGGAAATCAACACATTCCATCCTCTTCTTGGTAAAGCAGTGCCGACGGAAACGTTCAGTGGTTTGCAGGCTTGGGAATCTGAAATCAATTTGCACGATGTTTCATATCTCCAGGATCACAAATTTTCTCAATCTTCAAACCCCTTGATACCTGCCGCTGTTTATATAGAGATGGTGTTTGCCATGTCTTTGCACTTGTCTCCACGGGCAGCACCAGATGTTCGTAACATCACTTTCGATAGTCTACTGTCTATATCCGAGAATGATTCGCACAAGATAAGAACACGTCTTCTACCTGAAAAATCCCTTGGTGAAAATAAATCATTTCAGATCACTGCAGTGGAAAGGGACGAGAGAGAACTAACTGTCTCTCAAGGCTCCATTCAGCTTGGTATTGATGACAGATATGGATCGAAAGGTAAATATTTTATTAAAAGATTTATAGCTATATAACTTTTTTTTATAGATATATAACACTACCTTGTTTTTGTTATTAAACAATTACTTGATAGCTTCCTGTGTTTGGATGGCCTGATCGATTGGGAATGTTGTTTGAGCTAAGAAAAGCTCGCAAAATTGCTCGCCTTCGGCCACGGTTTCGCGCGGTTATCTCAACTCTCGTAACGTTCTCGCTTTTTTATGTTTTGCTTGTCAACTTGCAACTCAATTAAACAAAAGAAAACTGATTTGCCATTTCCAATTTGACATCATGCACGTCCGGTTAATATAAAGGCTAATAAATCCAAGAATTATAATGTGAATAACAAACTCTGATTGCAAAGTTTTTTAAAATACCTTAAACTTTTGCTGTATTTAAATACCGCAACCATGTTATAGGCACTTAAATGCATGCAGTCATATAAATCCTTCCTGGTAGTGGTAGTCATTTATAACGTCAAAGCTTGATAATGATGTGTTACGATTTTTAATGCAGTTGACGTGCTCGAGTCGTATATGACTGATATGGCTATCAGCCATGTACAACGAGAGCGAGTGGTATAATTGTTTTATAATATAGCTACTATAATTTTATAACTACCATTTTATGAGCGAAATAGACATTGCATAAAAATATAACTATACATTGGCAATTGATTTAATTTCAGTCAATCTTTCGCTGAATGATTTCGCTGAATGAAGCTTTTCGCTTTTTGTCAGTTCTATTTACCACTAAATATTTTTATCTCATATTTTCTTGATTTGTTTTAAATATCTGGGAACTGAACATTCAAAAAGTGTTTTCATTTCCTCTTGATCTCTCTCAAGCAAAACTATCGGCCATTTTGTTTTGCTACTCATCGATTATGAGCTGTGAAGCCGGTATACGGCGTATTTGAAATAGTTTAAAACATTCCCGTTTTCTCATATCTAAAACTCTTAGCTGCGCCTCGCGGTTTAAATATCAACGCTCTCTCTCGTGTTTTAATTACTAAATAATGGCAGCTATTATTATTATAACTTCTGGGTTGCACCTAAACGACGACACAATCACTACAAGGCTTCGTGTTCAGGTAGAAAGCGTAGTGCTTATCTTCATTTAGCCTAACGCTTATTCAAATCTGTTTTATTTTAGAAGCCTCCCAAAAAGTAAATATCTACGATATTGAAATTCTTAAATCTTCAATGGAAGAATGGTCAAGGGCAGATTTTCTTAAAGCTCGTGAGACTGCGGGATTCGCATTCGGTCCTCAGTTTGATTTGATAGTGAGAGCGTGGTCCAGTGGCAACGAAGCCCTCTCTCTCATATGCCCGACTGAAGAAATCGTTAATACAGAAGAATATGTCTTGCATCCTTCGGTGATTGATGCATGTTTACAGACAACCATTCTGTTGGACATCAAATCTGTTGTTAAAGCTGTACCAAAGGAGATTAAGCGCATCAACATTTTGAGAAAGGCAACGTACACGCAGCAGTTTTATGCTTACGCAAAGATCGTAGAATCAGAAAAAGGAAAGGCGTTTAACATTTTCCTTTTGGATCAGTGTGCCCGTGCTTTGATGATTATTGACCAGTTTAGCATAGAAGAAATACTGTCAGATCGAGAGGAAGTGAAATTTGATAACGCAGTGTTCACATTTGGTTGGCAGCAGTTAGAGTCTGGTTCTTCAAAAGTTCGTGAGCATTATGTTTGGCTGATTCTGAGAGACCAAAGTAAGTTTGCTGAACGATTTGCACAGCATGTCCCGCAAAGCGGAAGTGTTGATTTTGTTGACAAACGAGATACCTCAGATGAATCTCGTGATGCATTTTCCCGATCGCTAGATAAAGTATTGGCTAAAATAGAAGCTAATCAAAAGATAATGGTGATCAATTTCTGGCCTGTAGATGGAAGCAAATTCAATATGGATGCGCGCAACTTTGATGCTGCTCATAGCTCTGCGTTTGAGAGCTGTCTTTTGATTTCTCAAGAAATTTTAAACAGAGAGGGGTATCTCAAACAGATTCAGCTTGTGTTTGTCACTTCAGGCGTGATTTCAATTCCTCAACTAGAACGAAGTGGTGAAGATACGTTCCCATGGTCTGGAACTGTATTTGGATTTAGAAGAACCTTCTCAGAAGAAATCACAGTCCCCACTGCTTCTGTGATTGATTTGCCGGTCAATCCTAGCGATGAAGATTTTCATGCAATGGCACACGACATTGAAAAAACATTGCTAGAAGAAGAGATTGTATATAGGAATGGTGAACGGTATGTCAATCGTATTCAAAAATTTGATCCTGACGGGTCCAAATGTACGAGAAGCGAATCACCTTTGGAGGAAGATGGAGCACTAAAGCCTGTAAAGATGGCGAGTTGGTCAGGTCAGTGGTTTCTACAGAAAGGGTCGAAAGAACGGATTGGAGAAATTGAAGTCTACTATGCCTGTCCTATCCTTCATAAGAATTGGAAAGATCTTAAACCAAACGATCTTATTTCAATTGCTGGGAAAATGTGCAATGGACTGGAGGCAAACGATGATCCCTTTGTGTTTGGCATCTGTAAAATTGATAATCTTGGAAGTTATGTTGCTGCAGAGGAAACCTGCTTCACGGAGATAAAAGCCATTTTCACCCCTCAACAAGCTGTGTGCATTGGATTTCCCATGGCAATGTCTTACTACATTCTTACAAATCTTCTTTGTGAAATAGAAGGTGATAAGAAAGTTCTTGTATATCATCAAAGTGAGGAAGTATGCTTCATTTTTGCTTGCGTTGCCGCGTCTATTGGTATAAATGCTGTGTGTCTTGTTCACAGTCAGTCTAGTAAAGATCGATTTGGAGAGTTATTGGTTGTAAGTGAAAATGAAGTAGCGGAAGCTGAACCTAAGGATACTAGCTGTAAAGATTTTGATGCTGTTTGCCTTCTGAGTAGAAGCAGTGCTTATGTCACAGGTGAAATACTGAAACATCTTAAACCAGGAGCTAGTGTTATTACATGTACCCTCGACGGAGCTGAAATTATGATGCTTAATCCATGGATTTACGTGAAAGATGTCCACTTTATTTTGACTAGTTTACAAGACATTACTAAGAGTTCTACCGATTTTTCTAAGCTATTAGATTCGTGTTATTCAGTTTTGAAATCGAAAGGGCTTTGGAGCAAGCTTCTAGATATAACTCAAAAAGCATCCAGCATTTACGATGTTATGCAACGTGGCGATGAATCCAATAACCGATGCCTACCTGAAGTTGAGCGAAAAGGGAACTTTAGTTTAAACATAATTCTGTGAAGCCAGAGACTGTTCCTGGGCAGGTTGATTTCTATAATCTACCACTTGACATCAATGGTTTGAAAGATGATCGAACTTATCTTGTCATTGGCGGCGTTCGAGGTTTTGGGTTCCAAATCGCAAGATGGATGGTTGAAAATGGGGCAAAAACAGTCGTGTGTACAGCGCGTTCACAACCAAGTGATGAAAAGATTTCGGAGGTTCAACAATTGGAGAAGAAAACTGGATCTCGTATCCTTCTACGTCAAGCAGACGTAACATCTTGGGAAGAAATGAATACAGTTAAAAACGAACTCGAAAGTCTACCTGATGTAGCTGGAATCGTTTTTACCGCTATGGTATTGGCCGACCAGTTTCTCAAGAAAGCCGATTTAAAGACATGCAGAAATGTTGTAGGGACAAAGGTGAAAGGTAAGTCTTTTCATTGCATGGCAATTCACGCTATTGAATTGTACACTAGATCGACCATTTCACTTTTCAATACACGATCTCTGGTAGCGTTATTTCGACTTCTCCTAAACTCCCACAAGTGTTTCTATAACTATATAGAAACACAGGAAAAAAAGTTTCGTATTTCTTAATCTATAATATAACTCAATAAAAAGATTTTGTACAAATGTTATAATTCGATTACAAATTCTCATTACATCGCTTCGTTTGTCAAGTTGGGCGGGAAAATTCCCGTGTATAGAAACACGCTTCTCGACGAATCGGCACGCGCGTACTACAAATGCTATGTTATAATTCCATTTCTAATTAAAAAAATGCAATCTTCCTTTTTTTCAATAGGGAGTGTAATCCTTCACCAACTCAGTCTTACGATGGATCTAGATTTCTTCATTATGTTTTCCTCAATATCCGGAGTTCTTGGTAATGTTGGCCAAGCATCTTACGCTGCAGCTAACACATTTTTAGACCAACTATGTGAATATCGTCGAAACAAGCTTGGCCTGCCTGCTTTGTCTATTAACTGGGGACCGATTAGTGGTGCTGGAGTACTGGAAAGAAATGCGATATCACATCAGTCCTGGAAACATACGGATTTTTTCCTCTTCACTATACGCAAGGTATATTCAGGATAGCAAATTGAAATACATTCTTGCAAAACTCCTCGCAACTTCAAATCAAGAAAATAATCCCTTAAGCTAGCCAGATTATGAAATTACTCAGTAGGACATTATTGCATTGCATGGCAGCCAATCCTTTGGCACGAAAATGTTGTCATAACATTGAAGTAACATTGTATTGTTAATAAGTACACATAACTATTCGCCTATTTTGGCACTGATTTTTCAGGACTAAATCTTGCAAAACTTGTTTTTTCAGCAACTGAGTTTATGGAACGCATCATTCTTAAAAATTTTAACGAAGCTCAAGTTTGCATATCTCCTGTGAATTGGCAAGTTTATCTTAGAAGTCATACTTCTCCGAGGTTCCAATGGAAACGAGAAGAAACGCTGCTAGCCGTGGATAATGTCATGACATTGGAGAGCCTAGCACTGCTACCGTTGGATTTGAGAATTCAAAATGTTCAAGATTTTATTAGGCGTTTGCTGAGTTCGTGGTCAGGTAGTGAGGCTTCTGAAGTGGACTTAAACCTCGGCCTGTACAAGTTTGGAATCGATTCAATTGCTGCAACAAACATGAAACATCGAATTGAAAACAACATTGGGGCTAAATTTGAGGTAAGCTTTTTCAGTAATTTTCTGTATATTTTCTGTAATTAATCAACGAACCAGTAAAAATCCTTTAAAATGCTCAAAAGTGCATTTCTTTTCTCGTGTGTGAAACAATGCACTTATCAGTTATACGACGGAAAATTGCCATGGTTTGAAGTTGAATGGTAATAACATGCAGCTTCGTACATGCACTCGTGTGTAAGATTATGATCTTCTTCCTTCAAATACGAGCTCATAACACTCTCTTCTTTTCTTAAGCTAATTTCTCAAATAAACTCGCGGAAATTTGTTTTCCATAGTTTTCCTCAAAGTTTTTTTCTCTATTTTGCATGGTTGTTACAGAAATTTGCACTGTTACTGAAAATTTCACTGATATAAACATTTTGGGTAAAGTTGTCGAAATCAGCAACTTTCGTATAAGTTATAGAGGAAAGCTATAAAGATTTTGATCTCTTTTAGTTGTATTTTTAAGAAAAATTCATGGATAGATTAAATTTAAAAGTCAGTAAATTATTTTGAAATCTTTCTAAAATATGCAATAAATGCAAGATAGAAATATTTTTAATTGAGCTTTTTTGAACTGAAGCGCGCAATATTTACAGTAGACACTTAAAAATTATGAAACGATTGCGTTTACGAACATTTAGCGAAATATAAGTTAGGGTAATGTTCAAATGTTCCTAAAAGCGAGCAATGCTTCTCTCGTCATTCCCTTCTTTTAAGTTATCGTAAAAACTGTATGCCATTATAATGCATTGAAATGCAAATTCAGGTGATTTTCTTCAACATATAGGCATATTATTTCATCCAACCAAATGTGAATGGTCTAAAAATCGTCAATGATATTCTGGAACAAATAGAAAACGTAGAATCGACGAGTGCGGACAATGAATCCTCGAAAGAAATAAAGCAAAGGAAACGCAGTTTGTCAAGTAACCATAAGGAAAAAAATAAAATTGTTTTACCTGAAATTAACAACAATGACACCGTTAAGATTGAAAGAATTAACCATGGGCTTGAGCTGCAGAACATAAATATTCCTTCAATCCCAGAGAAAGTTATTCCAATTTATACTCCTGATAACGTATTTGTTAAAGTTTTTATGACACACTCCAGCGAAAAGTCGGCACTTGGACTAGCGTCATTCGCGCAAGGTTTCCAAAAACAGGTAACGATTTTAAATAACTTTGTCCGCTGGGAGGGTTTTTTAAATCAGATTTATAAAATATATTTGGTCAAAAAACAAATTATTAACAACTATTGGATGAGGCTGAGCATGATATCAAGTATTATCACACCGAGGTCAAAGTTATCGGCCGAAGAAAAGCTAATAATTGTTTAATGTCGTTGTAGGGACCAGACAGTGAGAATTGTGTTTAGGCTCTTAGCCAATCA